GGCTGGGTGAATGTCTGCTTTCCATGGGGAAAACAGGTGTCCCTGTCCCACCTATGCCCAGCCCCTCTCTGCTCCTGCCCCGGAGGCCAGCCCAGGGCTGGCGGCTTTGTGCATTTTCCCATGTATCACAATTACCCACACACCTGTGCCATGGGTGCCTGCCAAGCCACAGCACAGTGGCCAGTGCCCAGTCGCCCTCGAAATGCGTTTCATCTCTTACCTGCAAAACTTGGACAGCGTGGAGGGCAGGGCCTCCCACCTCGAGGCCATCAGCCTCCTACTACCAACTGGTGGGTCTGCCTGGCTGGGCACTCCACGCCCATCAGCCTGAGCACAGCTAGAGAGTCCCTGCATGCTCAGGGTGGAGCTCACACCCTTCATCCTGGAGCATCCTATCACCCACTCACAAGTGACCGTGACCTCATTTTGCTTCTGAGGAACTGGAAGCCACAGGGATGTGGAATCTAAGCCTCCCACAGAAACTGAGACCTCCAGCCTCCAGGAACAGTGCCCCGTCTCGGTGCTGGGGACTCAGGCCTGTCATCACAAGCAGCCCATACCCTCAGCCTCTGTTTTGAACTCTTGTCCTAACTGACACTCGGTTGCCCCCGATATGCCAGTTCCCCCTGTTCCCTCTCCCGCACCCCCACAGACCCTGCCATTGCTTTTCCCAGAACAATTGCCCTCCATTATCCCTTTCAAAGCCCCATCCCCTCTGAATCCATGTCCACAGACTTGACCCCTCACCACTGCCCACGGGTTGCACCTCGCATTCATCACAGACTCAACTGACACATCTGCCCTGTCTTCCTCCCCACCCCTCCTGTCATCGGTTTTGGTGACTTCAACATCCACTCTGCAGATCCACCCAACACTGGGGCTTCTCTGTCCCTCTACAGGTTGATCCAACCATTTGTCCCCCTCCTCCCCACCTACTCCCATGGCCATCACACCTTGTACCATTGCGAAAACTGCACCACCCACACAGCCTCCACTTCAAGCATCCCACCGGGTGACCACCTGTCATCCTTCCAGATGACAAGCAATCCCTCCACCTCGCCAAGCCCTCCCACCCCTCACCCTCCTCTGTCACCATCACCAGCCCTCTGCCATCACAGCCATCTTTCATCTTCTCCCCTTACTTCTTCATACCTAAAGACCATGTCCAACCTTGGTTAAATCCAATCACCCACCTGCTCAGCGCCTGCACCCATGCAGCAAAATAAAGGTAGAGAAAAAACAAACTGGCTTCCTCTAAATTCATAGCCTGGCACCCCAACTGGGCCCTGTGTTGCTCTGCAACACTGCTACCGTTGTCTGTGGCCTAGGTGTGCACTTTCCTGCCCTAGAGCAACTGTCTCAGCCTTTCTCCTCCCCACACCCTCACCACCCCAGCCTCACTTGCCTCATGCTTTGTTCACAAAGTGGTATCAATCACAAAGGTCATCTTCCCATCATGAAACCTGGCAGCCTCCCTCCTGCTCCTGTGGACGAAGGCCACTGCTCTGCCCAAGGCCATTCCATCCAGGTGGGTCTTGGATCCCACTTCTGTCACCTGAACCATAGGTACCTCATCTTTCTGCACATCCCCTCTTCCTTCTCCATTAGGTCATCCACAGAAGGCTGCTTCAGGATCTCCTGTGATACACGAACAGCTCCATTGGGCTCCACTTCCCTCTCCAGCTTCCATCTCAATAGTCTGCTCCCCTTCACTGCAAAAAGTGTTCCTGCCTCCACCTTCTTAGTGGGCATTCTGTCCCCATGGCTGAGCTGACTCAGCATTCGTCATGTCACCACTGATCCCCACGTGTCCCGTCCATGTTCTCTCCCTTTCACTTGACCTTTCAGCAGTGACTGATGCAGGACAGCTTCCCACTTCTTATCGTGCTTTGTGTTTGGCCTCCACTCCTTCCTCTTCTGGGTTTCTTCTTACTCCCTGCCCGCTCCTTCTCAGTCTATCTGGCCAATTCTGCTTCCATGTCCAACCCTCTGTGTGCAGAATAATCTCAGGGCAAATCCATGGACTTCTTTCTTTTCTCCTTTCCCAATGTTCCCAAGATAACTTCATCCCATCCAATTGCATAAAATGCCAGGTCTCTGTCATGACTGGATGCCTCCATCTCCAGTCCTCGGCCGCTCCTTGTGTATTCCACTGTGAGAGTGTTTTCCACTGTGGGAGTGCATTCCACTGTGGGGGTGGATTCCACCATGGGAGTGTATTCAACTGTGGGAGTGTATTCAACTGTGGGAGTGTATTCCACTGTGGGAGTGTATTGTACCGTGGGAGTGGATTTCACCGTGGGAGTGGATTCAACTGTGGGAGTGGATTCCACTGTGGGAGTGCATTCCACTGCGGGAGTGCATTCAACTGTGGGAGTGTATTCAACTGTGGGAGTGTATTGCACCATGGGAGTGGATTTCACCGTGGGAGTGGATTCAACTGTGGGAGTCTATTCCATCGTGGGAGTGTATTCAACTGTGGGAGGGTATTCAACTGTGGGAGTGTATTGCACCATGGGAGTGGATTCAACTGTGGGAGTGGATTCAACCGTGGGAGTGGATTCCACTGTGGGAGTGGATTCAACCGTGGGAGTGCATTCCACTGCGGGAGTGCATTCCACTGTGGGAGTGTTTTCCACTGTGGGAGTGTATTGCACCGTGGGAGTGGATTCAACCTTGGGAGTGTATTCCACTGTGAGAGTGTTTTCCACTGTGGGGGTGGATTCCACTTTGGGAGTGGATTCAACCGTGGGAGTATATTCCACTGTGAGAGTGTTTTCCACTGTGGGGGTGGATTCCACCGTGGGAGTGTATTCCACCGTGGGAGTGTATTCAACTGTGGGAGTGTATTCAACTGTGAGAGTGTATTGTACAGTGGGAGTGGATTTCACCATGGGAGTGTATTCCACTGTGGGAGTGTTTTCCACTGTGGGAGTGGATTCCACCGTGGGAGTGGATTCAACCGTGGGAGTGGATTCCACTGCGGGAGTGGATTCCACTGTGGGAGTGGATTCAACTGTGGGAGTGCGGAGTGTATTGCACTATGGGAGTGGATTCCACTATGGGAGAATGACTAGGAGCCATCTCAAAATTAATACATATGGCCAAAACCAAACTCGGCTTTTCCTTCAAACTTGCTCCTCCTCCCTGCTCCCTGGACTTCCCACGTCTGTCAATGGTACCACCACCCACTCATGCTTAAGCAAAATATCCCAGAGTTATCTCAAATTCCTCTCTTCATCCCCCACACCCAAGCAATCGGCAAGTCCCTGACAATCCCACCCTCAACACACACCCCAGTCTGTCCATGTTCCTCCATCTCTTCACGGCCACCCCAATGTGGGCCAGCACCACTTCCCTGCTGGACTAAAGTCTCACTCCTGGGCCGCAGCGATGCCCTCCTCTACCTGCAGCCCCCGCCCCTTCCTGACCAAACGTAGGGCTCCCTCTCTAACCACAAGTGATAAGCCCCAGATTAGAAACACTGGATGAGTGAGCCATTATTTTAGAGCTAAGCAGCCTTAGGCCTCCCTGGGTCAGCACTGCTCATCTGCAAAATGGACAGGCAAAGGTGGCGTGGTGTATTCTCTGTGGCCCCAGGCATCACATTCCTGGGCAAAGTTTCCAGCAATATTTGGGCTCTGAAGGGACCATAAGAGGTAGGCCAATGGGCATCTCTATGGAAACTGGTTCCTCTAGGCTGAAGGAGGGTGGACCCTCCAGGCCAGATCCCTGCCTTCACTACTGCCTCCCACTGCACTCGCCACACAGCAGCCGGGGTCAGCTTTGTATAATGGAAACCAGGCCACACCACTTCCCTGCTTAAAAGCCTCCAGTGGCTTCAAGCACCTTTTGAATAGAACGGAAACTTCTCATCCCACACAGGGTCCCCAGTGCCTGCTCCCCACCTGCTCCATCATCCTTGTTGTGGCTTCTTCCTCCCTGCTCACAGGGCAGCAGCTGCAGGCATCTCATCAGGGTTCCAGACAGGAGGACTGGAAGGGAAAAGGGCAAAATGGGGCCTGCCTGGGAGCTCGTCCATTTTCATCACAATAGTAATAACTTTTCTGGGATCCCCATCCAGGAGACGTCTGCTTATAGCTCACTGGCAAGACCACATCACATGGACACCCATGGCTTTAGGAGAATTTGGGAAATAGAATTTGCTTGTTTGTTCATTTTAGAGATGGGGTGTCCCTCTGTTGCCCAGGTTGGAGTGCAGTGCTGCAATCATAGCTCAGTGCAGTTTCAAACTCCTGGGCTCAATCGATTACCCTGCCTCAGCCTTCTCAGCAGGTGGGATTACAGGCATGTACCACCACACCTGGCTAGTTGCTTTTTCAATTTTTTGTAGAGACAGGGTCTCACTATGTTGCCCAGGCTGGTCGCAAACTCCTGGTCTCGGGCAATCCTCTCGCTTGGCCTCCCAAAGCTCTGGAATATCCGTTTATTTTTTTAGAGGTGCCTGTTGCTGCCCTAAATAAAAGTGGGGTCACCTAAGAAGGCAGAAATGGAGAATGAAGTGGCTGGTCCACCAGTGCCACCAAGACAGACTGAAGGTTCCATGAAGTGGGGCCACGTCTTCTCTTCTGAGTCAGGCTCAGATTTTGGAATTCTGTGTTCAGTAAACAGCTACTGAGGAGCTGTTTTTTTTTTTTTTTCCTTGTCAAACGCCTTGCATGACCCAGCATTAAGGAGATAAACCAGGCTGGGCGCGGTGGCTCACACCTATAATTCCAGCACTTTGGGAGCAGAAGTGGGTGGATCACAAGGTCAAGAGATTGAAGCCATCCTGGCCAACATGGTGAAGCCCCATCTCTACTAAAAATACAAAAATTAGCTGGGTGTGGTGGTATGTGCCTATAGTCTCAACTACTCAGGAGGCTGAGGCAGAAGAATTGCTTGAACCAAGGAGGCGGAGGTTGCAGTGAGCCAAGACTGCACCACTGCACTCCAGCCTGGTGACAGAGCAAGGCTCTGTCTCAAAAAAAAAGAGACCTTTTTTTTTGCCACCTCTCTTGCCCTGTAGAGGCTCACTAATGCTGGGAGACAGGCCGCCCAGCAAACTGTGGCATGTCAGGTTCCGCACAAGTTGACACAGAAGGGGTGGTAAAGGCACAGAAACTGCATCCTGTATTCTTGCATCCTCCTAGCTCCAGGCATCCTTCTTGAGAGAAAGGAGGCAGCTCCACAGAGAGGGGCCTTGAGCTGTAAGCAGGAAACAGAGAAGGCAGGAGGAGCAATACAGTGATGAGGGCGGCATGGCCCAAGACATGGAGATGCGCATGGGCATCCCCTGTTCGGGAACTCGTGATAGTGGGGCAGAGTTGCAATCTAAGAGGAGGAGAGGTGAGGAAGAGGGGAGGGCAGCTCGGATAGGAGGGAAGAAAACCTAACTGTGAAGGACCTCAGGGGTCACCCCAAGAAGTTGACATTTTCCTATAGCAGTCATCAAAGGGGTGTCAGCTGAAGGGCAATGAGATCAGATTTGTGAGCTTCTTTGTTTTTGCTTTATTTTGTTTTGTTTTTGAGGCAGGGTCTCACTGTGTCAGGCAAGCTGGGGTGCAATGTCACAATCACAGCCCACTGCAACCTGAACCTCCCAGGCTCGAGCAATCCTCCCACCTCAGCCTCCCGAGCAGCCAGAACTGCAGGCACTTGCCACCGTGACCAGCTGATTTTTTTCTATTTTCTGTAAAGATGGGGTCTCGCTATGTTGCCCAGGCTGGCAGACTTGGGTTTTAGAAAGGACATTCTGGCAGCAATGGATGAGGTGGATCAAGAGGCGGAGACAGGGAGATCACGTAAGGGGACATTAAAGCAATCCTAAATCAAGAAGGCCTGAATTAATGAAGAGGGAGAAGAGATGGATCCTGAAGACAGAGAGAGAGAGTACCAAGCCACCAGGAAAGATCAGGCACCGGTCTTTCTCTCTGCTTGGAGATCTACTCCTGCCCCTGAGTCCTACCCCTTCCATGCTCCTCTGTCACCACATTCTTTTCGTCATGCAACAGACCAGACTAAGTGACTTTATATATATATATATATTTTTTTTTTCTTTCTTTTTTTTTTTTTTGAAGCAGAGTCTTGCTCTGTAACCCAGGCTGGAGTGCAGTTGTACGATCTTGGTTTACTGCAACCTTCACCTCCCGGGTTCAAGCAATTCTGCTTGTATTCTTAGTAGAGAGGGGTTTCACGTGTTAGCCAGGATGGTCTCAAACTCCTGACCTCATGATCTGCCAGTCTTGGCCTCCCAAAGTGCTGGGATTACAGGTGTGAGCTATTGCTCCCAGCCCTGAGTGATTCAGGGTGACTCAGGTGACTCTCTCTCTCCCCTCTGGTTGTGAGGCCAGAGTATGTGTGATTTTGCATCACTGCACCCAGTTCTAGCACCCTGACCATCACTGCTGATGTGTGGTAGAAACGCAGCGCACGTTCACAGGAAGTACGGACCATGCAATGGTGATGATGCAGCAGGAAAAGTGGTAAATGCCATTCTCAGAGCCCAGATTATATCCTACGGGGACCAGGAAGACATAGGGAGTTTTAAATATAGAGGGGACATGGTCAGCTCTGTGTTTGCAATTAATCCATCTGGCAACTGTGGAAGATGTATTTGAATAGGGCAAGACTCGAGAGAGGGGGACCAGTCCAAAGCTATTTCTAACTTTCCAGGCAAGGGAGGAGGAGACCTGAATGTGGAGAGAGGAGAAGGAATAGAAGGGAAGGATCAGCCTGAGAAGTAGCAAGGAGGTGGGACTGGTGAGGTCTGATGATCAACTAGAAGACAGTCAATCGGTTGGCTTAGGCAATTGGGTCTATGATGTCATTTGCTGAGACTGGGCAGTGGGTAGGGGGAGGTGCCATAATGAGCTCCCCTTGGGACATGTTGAGGCTAAGATAACTGTGGAGCATTCTAGGGAGAAATGCAATAGGCTCGCTATGTGAGACTGAAGGTCAGGGTGGAGCCTAGGGCTAGAGGTAGAGATTTCTGAGTCATCGGCTCAGAAAGGCAGTGACCACAGTGACATGGGAGACTGAGAGTCACCTGGAAAGCCATTGTCAAGTGAGAAAAACAGTAGCTCACGGAGACAGCCATCAAAAGTGCCCACCTTTGAGGGTCTGCAGAGGGAAAGGACCCTTCAAAGAGAGAGAGAGGAGGAAAGGAAACAGGGGGAACCAGGACAGAGCAGTGGTGTCCCAAGTGTTGATGAAGAAAGTTCAGGAAGGATGAGTAGTCAACAGGGTCAAAATCAATGGGAGACCTAAAGGTCTCTGCTGGGTTTGGCAACACGATGGTCACTGGTGACCTTTGCCAAAGCAGTTTCCATGGTGCTGGGGGTGGAGTCATGTTGCTTCAGGCTGGGGAACACATCAGAGGTAAGAAAGTAGAGGCAGCTCAGTTAGTTAATGGCTTTGTTACAAATGATATTCCACCTTCTGCCAAAACAGAACCCACTGTAAAATATACATTACAATGATCAAGTAACATAGCATAGTTAAAGACCTAGAACTGTGCCAGGCTTACAGTGCTACCCAGTACAGGTTAGGTATATTTGCTTCTTATATTAATAGGCATATATCCAATAATACTGTTAAAACAGAAAATTAAAAACCATGTACAGATATAGACCTGAAAGAATTCAAAGCCAGGATTTGAACGTCCATAGTCCCAGCAGAATTATTCATGATAGCCAAGAGGTGAAAGTAACCCAGATGCCTACTGATGAATCAATGGATAAACAAAATGTGGTATATACATACCATGAAATATTATTTAACCTTTCAAAGGAAAGGAGGGGCCAGGTGCGGTGACTCATGCCTGTAATCCCAGCACTTTGGGAGGCCAAGGTGGGTGGATCACTTGAAGTCAGGAATTCAAGACAGCCTGGCCAACTCCTGACCATGGTGAAACCCTATCTCTACTAAATATTCAAAATACAAATTAGCCACGAGGGGTGGTGCGCACCTGTAATCCCAGCTGCTCAGGTGGCTGAGGAAGGAGTATCACTGGAGCCGGGGCAGGCGGGAGGTTGCAGTGAGCCAAGATCACATCACTGCACTCCAGCCTAGGCGATAGGGTGAGACTCTGCTCAAATAAGCAAACAAGTAAATAAGTGGAAGGGAATTCTGGCATATGCTACAATGGTGAACCTTGAGGATGTTATGCTACGTGTAATAAGCCAGTCAAGAAAGACAAACACTGTAGGGTTCCACATACAGAAGTGCCTAGAGAAGTCAAATTCACAGACACGAAAGTAGAATGGTGGTTGCCAGGGGCTGAGGGGAGAAGGTAATGGGAAATTATTGTTTAATGAGTATAGGGTTTCAGCTTGGGAAGATTAAAAAACTGTGAGCTGGGCACAGTGGCTCATGCCTGTAATCCCAGCACTTTGAGAGACCAAGGTGGGTGGATCATCAGGTCAGGAGATCAAGACCATCCTGGCTAACATGGTAAAACTCCGCTCTACTAAAAATACAAAAAAATTAGCTGGGTATGGTGGCACGCACCCATAATCCCAGCTATTAGGGAGGCTGAGACCAGAGAATCGCTTAAACCTGGGAGGTGGAGGTTGCACTGAGCCGAGATCGTGCCACTGCACTCCAGCCTGGGCGACAGAGCGAGACTCTGTCTCAAAAAAAAAAGTTCTCAAGATGGACAGTGCTGATGGTTGCACAGCAAAATGAATGCATTTAACGCTGCTGAACTGTGCACTTCAAAATCGTTTAAAAAATACGTTTTATGCTATATACATTTTATCACAATAAAAAATAAACATGTACAAAGAAAAAGAAAAATATATATTACAATGTGGGCTAGTACAATTGCTGGAATGGCGCGCTTCATTATGCCTGAGCTTTCTGGTAACCAAGCTATGAAGAGTGATGTTTGAGTCTGATATTTAATAAAAGGAAAAATACTGCTATTTCCAGAGATCTCAGTGTCCACCCCACCCGCAGCCCTGGCCAGGACTCAATTATAGCAGGCGTTTGCCTCGGTGACTCTTAGACAAGAGGCGCTGGAGAGCATGCAGGACAATGCAAACATCACAGTTGCCTCACAGAATGTAAAGGCACATCAATGAAACCTAACTCAAGAGCCTTTCTGGTGGGAATGAAGCTAATGAGGGCTCAAGATGAAGATTTCCAGGAAGGAACTTGGAATTCCCAAAACACTTACTCGCTTAGTGGTTGGGGCCTGTAGGGTTTCCAAAGAGAGGTGTCCTACAGATTGGATTAAAGATGGGGGTCCAGATGTTATCAGCACAGAGATGGTCACCATAGCCGGGGTGAAAGTACCCTGTCCAGGAAGAGTGTAGAGCCCCAGGGTGTGCTGCTTCACAGACACCCCCATTTCCCAGAGGCCCACCAAGGACTGGAGAGCACGCAGTAGCTGGGTATTTTTAGTGAGCACGCAGGAGTGAGAACTCAGATCTTCTGACTCCTTGTCAAGTGTACTGGCCATTGCCCTGGACACTTCTCTGTTCAGGAGAAAGAACATGATGCTGGTCATCAGGAGGCCTGGTGGGATTCTCATGGTCACCACCTCCGGCTCTGTGGCTTTGGATAAGTTACACAGACTCCTGCAAACTCAGGTTCTATGTCTATGGATGGTAATACAAATTTAACAGTTCCTTCCTTGCTTTCCTTACAAGGTTGTTGGGAGCAGAAGAGTGGCTTGACAGGACTTTAGTCTGTGTCCACCTCCTGCTTCCCTTATGACTTCAAACAGACATCAGTCCAAGACCTGCTCCAGAAAACCCCCAGCCTCCTTTTGCTGATTTCAGACCCACCGGTACATATTCTCAACCTGCCTCTTGTTGGGAGATCAACTATAATGAGCCATGTGATAGCAGAATGCCACCTTCAAACTGCTGCCACACATGGATGATCATCACTCAGTGCCTCAGAGTCTGTTCTAGCCCTCAAGGCAACAGTGATGCCCTTCGCCAAGCCAAGAAGCTTGGGAGGATGGTGTCTGCAGTTCAAACATGCTGCATTTGATGAACCTGTGGGCATTTCAGGTGGAGAGACCTGGGTGGTGGCCGCATGTAGAGACCTGAAATCCCCGGTAGGTCTAGGAAAGAGAGAGAAATTTGATAAGCATCAATACACAGGTGGAAGTGGAAGCCATCAGAGGGACCCTTTCCAAAGAGGCTTGGAACTAAAAGTGCAAATGACTTTAATAATGAGATAGCTATCGGGCATCAAGAAGGAGCTGGGGGAAATTCCGACTTGCAGTTTTCTATGCATGCTAGCATTGGCACCACACCCAGTCACCCAAGCCTGGCCTGGGTTGTACCCTCACCACACGTGGCTCCGGGTGCTTGACAGAGGAGAGTCTGCAGAGAGCAGCCTTGCATTAGGTTGGAGGGACTTGCTGGCCAGACTCTTTCAGACACATCGTCTCTTAAAACCTCAGTCTGGATGGCTATGCTCAGCAATCATGTGTTTAAAAAGCAATAAGACTAAATGCTTTCCCATTTCCCCTTTGAGAGACCATGTATGATAAATGATAGGCAATTTCATGGTTGGAGTTTCAATTTCCGAAAATATTAGTGCTATTCCCCAAGCTCCACTTCCGAGATAAATTCCTTTTGGCAGCCTCCCCCACTATCTCCTAATTCCCTGATTCTGAATATATTTGGAGGTTTGGTACAAATTTCATCAGCCCAGTCCCAGCATCTACCTGTCTGGTTTGCTTTGGAAAGGGTGTCACCCACCTTCCACTCTTTCAGGTTCTTTTTATATTTGCTACAAGTCCATGGTTATTTATTAGGTGCCTCCTGTGTGCTCCCACCTCCATGCTCAGTATTACAGTGGGCTTGGGGAGCTATAATCAATCATTTGATCAGCAAACATCTGGGCCCTTCAAGCCCAAAACTGCACTTCTACAGAGCCTAATACTTCATGCTTGCTTCACATTGTCCCCATTTCACAGTGGGGAGAACTGAGGTTCAGAGCTAACCTAGTAAAGTCAGGGTGGACTAGAGCGGTCAGTGGCAAGGTAAGAGAGGGTGAACATTAAGTGAGCATCTACAGGAGGCCAGGCTCTGGGGTGAATGCTTAACAGCCCTCTGCACAGGAGTCTAAGCTATTTATCTTCACAAAACTCAAGGTAGGTGTTATCATCACCATTTTATGGATGTGGGAACTGAGGCCCAGGAAGGTTAGGCAGGCTGCCCATGGATTCCCTTTCCACTGAGTAATACTGTCTACCCTGATGTCCTGACAGCAGCAGGCTGGATGGAGCCCCCGCAGTTATTTCCAAATCATGGAAGTGCCCTTCTTTGAAAACATCAAAGCGCCAAGTCAACCACAGAAAGAGAAAAACCTGCCTTTGCACCTTGATCTCCCATTACTTGGTACTCTCTGCCTGCCCTAGCCCCAGGCTCCTGCCTAAGTTTCCCAGCCTGAAGTCCTCAGTGCATCACCCACACTCCGGGGCCCATTCGCTGCTTCCTCTCATGCTGTTGCCTTCTCTTTCTAACCATCATAGGTCAGCAAAGCCCCCGATGTCAACCTTTCCCCTCTAGCCATTTGCTCACCCTTTAGAGGGGTCATCTCAGGACCGGGATGAGTTTCCTTCTCTCGTAATCTCATGGATGCCTAGAAGAAGACTGGGCACAACGCAGGTATTCCAAAAAGATTGAGGAAAGTATCGGGATGAAACGTGCTGGCGTGAGACTAAATGAGACGCAATCAGTGAGAACGGAGCAAACGGTGTGAACTGGGACAGGATGTGATGGAATAAAAGCAAGAAGGATAGTATGGTACAGAGAGAAAGAAGTAGGGTGAAAAAAGCAAACTGGAATGGAACCGAGTAGGAGAGCATGGAACAGAGTAGGAGAGCATGGAACAGACAAAGCGGCTCGAACCACCCTGGAACAGGTTGGAACAGAACAGAACAAGATGGGGCCGAATAAAACAGGGCAGAGGAGACTAGACCAGGTCAGAACAGAAGGAAACGACAGAAGAGTCTAGAAGAGGATGCAGCAGAATCGAATAGGATTCAGTAGACCAGCCCAGGGCGGAACAGACGCAAACAGGTCTGAACAGAATAGAGCGCAGCAGGATCACAGGGCTGGAGCCAAACAGTAGGTAACTGGATGAAATAAAATTCACTTCATTCATTCAACAAATGTTTGTCAAGGGCTACTCTGTGCTGGGTAGGGAACACAGAATAGTCCCTGCCCTCTTAGAACACATTGTCTTGTAAAAGGGACCAAAAAGACATAAGTAATTATTAACACATGTATGGTTACAAACTATGAGTGTCCGTGAAAGGATAAACAGCTTGCCACGATCACAAATGATGCGATAGAAGAAATAATATGATAACAAGGAAGTCAGGAAGCTGCAACCTAAATGGTAAGGAGGAGCCAGAGGCTCTTGAAGAACCACGGAAGAGCATGCTGGGCAGAAAGAACAGCATGTACAGAAGCCCTGAGGCAGGAAAGTGTTTGGCCCATTCAGGGAACAGAAAGAAGGTCAGCATGAACAGCGCCCAGGAAGCAAGGCACAGAGTGGCAGAGGAGGAGGGGGTGAGCTGGGTAGCGGCCAGACGGCGCGGGGCCTGGGGAGTTCATCCTAAGTGCGATGAGGAGCCATTAAAAGGGATGACCGGGCTGTTGCTGTTCCAAACTTCCTCCTTTGCTGGTGCAGAATGACTTAGGGCAGGAGACCATTTAGGCACCCACTGCGGACATCCGCGCAGTTAATAAAGGTGGCTTGGAGCAGAGCGGCCGTGGTACCAGAGGAAGGAAATGCAGCCAGGTAGAAAAGTGTTCTGAAGGTAAACACGGCTGGTGGGATTGGCCAATGTTTTGGACACAGGACTGGCAGAATGGGAGGTCTGGAGGAGCTGCTAGGGGTTGGTACTTTCATTTCCAAGGATGGGACTAAGGAGAGATGGTTTGGGGAGGAAAATCAAGAGTTTCCTCTGGAGATGCTCGGGTTCAGATGCTTGGGTGGTATCCAAATGGAGGCATCACGTAGCTTTGAAGATACAAGCCTGGGGCTGGAGATGTGAAACAAGAAGTTGTCAGCAGGTGGATGCTCAACAATGCCTTGGGCCTGGATGGGCTTAACTGTGCAGCAGTGCAGTGCAGAACTCTCTTGGAGTACGTTCCATGGACTGATTGCATTGGAATCTTTGGGGTGCTTGTTGAACATGCAAATTTCTGGGCTCCCAAGCCCCTCAAAAGAGATGTCTAGAGATGGGGCTCAGGAGTCTATATGTTTGGCAATCACCCCAGAGTGTCTGGATGCCATCTGAGATGTATAGAATACTGGTCTATGAAAAGAATAGAGGAGGGCAGGGGCCCTGTCACTGAGAAATGTGCACATTTGCAGACCAGTGAGGAAAAGCCAGCCAAGGAGACAGAGAGGGGATATGCAGAGAAATAAGGG